AGTCCGGAGGAAGGTAATATGAATGAAACAATTTTTGAGATTTTAATTGAGTGCAGAGTAAAATATTCAATAATATAGGGCAACTATGCATAAGCCTTAGTGAGGAGAGAGACAGACATTTACACATTCTCTTTTCAACACTCATGATTGAATTGGGAGGAAGTCTGCAAAACTGTGGTCTGTGATCACAGGCTAAGATGTTATCTAACAGAAACCAGAAACCAAATGTCTCCTGCTGAGATGTGCAAGTGCCTGTCAGTATCTAAAAAATTTCCTTAAGAAATACTGGATGTCATTTGAAAGACATTTGTTTGAGTGGCTTACAAGGGTCAGGTAGAAGGAGAGTAGACATTATGTAAGTTGCTGATATTGTTTTACCATAAGTTTTTAAATGATGCATTAACTATATCTTCAAGCTGACCAGTGATAAAGCAGCTCACCTCTTCAGCTGAAGGACCATAGCTTCTGACATCTTTTGAGTACATGTTCTCCTGTAGACTTGAATATAGCAACACTAACAATTTTTGGACAACATTGTTTCCATTTTCTTCTTTCATAAAATGCTACAAAAATAAGAGTCAGTGCTATTTCTCCAACTATTACTGATGACCTTGTAATTCTGAATCTCTTGACCAAATCCAGTTGGTTTGTTCCAGTGAGAGTTTCTGGACACTTTTGCTAACCTTAGTTATATTTACATGAGCACTAGTTGAAATGGCAGCTTACTGAGAAATTGAGACTAGAAAATAAAAGTGCTCTCTTGTTTGTGTTGAAGAATAGGATTTGGGCGCATGGAAGAATTATGGGTCCTTTGGGAATGTGGAAGCTCCATTTAATCTGCATAGGAACTCTCATTCCCTAAGAACTTCCAATCCTTTCCTCACTCAAAAATGAGATATTTTATATTAGAACAAAGGAATCTTCTTAATTTTCTGAAGATGTCTTTTAAATAATTACTTGACCTAATACCAAATTAATTATTCAAACTATTAGTCACCCAAATTGCATTGTAATATGTTGCTATATAGTCTTGAATTATTTTAAAGAGATAAGAACAGTTACCATTTATGAAAAGTTCATATGCTTTCATTTCAATTTTAACTTTGGTTTTGGTTTAAGTTTCTTTTTTTTTTTATTTTCGGTAACAGAGTTTTTGAAATTTTGAGTCATATTTCTTACCATTTCCTGCTGAAAAAGGTAGCATGCGAACAATGTTAGAAAAGCAATTGATTATGTTCCAGAACAGATTCTTGGTTTCATTGTACATTTCTTATAAATGTGGGACTCAAATTTACGTGAAAACTCAAAGTAAGAGCTGGGAAATAGAAATAGCAAAATTAGAAGGTTAATGTGCATCTTGTTCAAAAACAGATCAAGATAAATCTGACTTTCACAGAGAGAAAATGTAGAGCAATCAAGATTTCCATTGAGAACAGTATGACCCATAGCACCAAACTTCTGTTTTTACAGACTGTGAATCCTAGGGTAGTTTGCTATCAATTTGTGACCCTTGCAAATTCTGGGTTTGGTGTATCACATTTCAGCATTACCTATTGTAACATTGCACAAAGTAATCTGGTCATTCCTCGGTTCATCAGACTCAGAGATAGCATTATAAAAATGCTCTACCTTCCTTAATACGCTGGGGTCTAAGAGAAAGTGAGGGTTTAGATGGGGCTTAGGCTGAACTGAGAGTGGAACCAAGGGCAGTGTTGGGAGTCAAAATAGAAAAGACAAGGCACCTGGGTGGCTCAGTCAGTTAAGCGTCTGACTCTTGATTTGGGCTCAGGTCATGATCCCACCGTTGGTGGGTTTGAGCCCTGCATCGGGCTTTGGGCTGACAGCATGGAGCCTGCTTGGGATTCTTTCTCTCCTCCTCTCTCTGTTCCTTCCCTGCTTGTGCTCACTCTTTCAAAAATAAATAAACTTTGGAAAAAAATGGAAAAGACATTTGTAAGAGCATGATCTATGTGTAAATCAATGTCCTAAAGGAGGTAATGGATTAACTATATACCTCTGGGCTGTAGGGGTAGTACAGGTGGAAAAGCACGATCTTAGGATCAGATCACTTTCCAAGTGACTTTGGCAGATCTTTTTAATTTTCTGAAGTGTAGTTTTCTGGTCTATAAAATAGGTGCCATAAGAATGCTTTCCTTCCAGAGGTTCAAAAGAATCAAACAAGGGAATGCATGCGAAAGCCAATGTTTCTCCCTTTCTCCCACAATCAGACACTAGTCCTCATAATTGATCAAGTATAAAATGCCTCTCGATCTAAATGAAATGGCTTTCTTAAGGCTGTTCTGAAGAAGGTGAAGTCAGACAAATATGTAAAATAAAAATTGCATTGGCAAGTTATATTTAAGCTGGCACAATATAATGTTGCTCTAAACAAAAAATGTCAGCATCTTATTTAGGGACATACCATCTGAAAAAATCATTTAAGAACTTCATTGTAAAATATAAAGATTTGCAGGCAGTATAGTGAAGTGTGGTTCAGAGCTTCGAGTTTGGAGTTATAAAGAGATGTTCTAAAATCTTGGCTCCACCAGCAAAACATTTTGTGACTTTGTATGGGTTACTTTGCCTCAAGAATTTCATTATCTGCCAAAATGAGAATAACACTTCACAGGATTGTCATGAGTGTTGAATATGTTTGTGTGTTCAAAGTGCCCAAAGGAACATTTATCACACCCAAGTGCTCCATTAACTGTAGGCATTATTTTTAAAGTATAGTTATTATTATTACCAAAGCCAGTATTGCAGATACTGTGTAGAACGCTAACTCCAACATTTTTTTCACACATTGCTACATTTCCCAAATAGAGTAACTGGATATGTGTTATATAAATAACCATCCACAGAGGAAAAGTAAGGAGAAAGTAGAAAGAGGAGAAAGCAGAAAAGCAAGATTGGAGTCCTATAGTTCAGACCCTGGAGGAAAAATTTTTGTTATAAGAGAGAGCGATAGATAATTGTTCCAGTTATCTATCGCTGTGCATCAAACTACCCAAAAACTTACTGGGTAAAACAACAAGTTATTATTCTGTCATGGTTCTGTAGGTGGCCTGGGCTCACCTGGGCAGGGTGAGAAACGGGTTTCTCGTGTATTTGCTATCAGACAGTGCCTGGGCCTGGAGTCATCTGGAAGCCCCACTGGACTGGTCATCCAGGATGGCTTCTTCATTTCTTACTTCTTGGCCTTCTTTTCTCTCTCCATGTGGCTTGGCTTCTTACTGATGGTGGGCTCAGAGTAGCAGCAACTGTCTTCTAAGAGACCGGAAGCAGGAACTGCAGGGATACACCACAACTGGCACAATGTTGCTCCTGCCATATTCTATTGGTTAAGTAGTCAGAGGATCCACCAACATCAAATGGGGCACAAAAATAGACACACCATGTTTTGATGTGGAAGTGGCAAGGCCATACTGCAGAAGGAACGTAGGTTGAGAGAGATGTTTGTTGCCATGTTTGGGAAGCACAACCTGCCATAGGAATGGAAACTTAGGGGCCGGGAACAACAAACGAGTTTCTCTTTGAAGTTCTTCTGCTGTTTTTATCACCGAAAAAAAAATCCTTATAAAGTCAGGTGCGAGGGAGGAGAAATCAATAATCCTGGTCTGTCTATTCCATTATTGAAAAACTTCAAAGCAAATGAAATATGTTTTAATGCTTTAATGCTTTTAAATGGGAATTAAAGTTTGTGTGTCAAAAGACTGCATAAAAATAGCTCAGATAAACATGACAAAATACAATGCGCAAATTTAAAAAAATTTTTTTTTCAACGTTTATTTATTTTTTGGGGGACAGAGAGAGACAGAGCATGAGCGGAGGAGGGGCAGAGAGAGAGGGAGACACAGAATCGGAAACAGGCTCCAGGCTCCGAGCCATCAGCCCAGAGCCCGAGGCGGGGCCCGAACTCACGGACCGCGAGATCGTGACCTGGCTGAAGTCGGACGCTCAACCGACTGCGCCACCCAGGCACCCCTACGAATTTTAAAAGTTATAAGAAACATTCTTCTATGACTGTAATCATGCTCCGTATAAAACTTTTCTAGCCTTTGGCTATTTAACTTTTCTGAGTGATAAATTGATACTATCCAGTATTTGATCCTTGACAGCATTTATTACTACGATAATCTTAATCTTAAAAATTGGGTATTTTTAAACAACAAACATTTGAAAATCTCATTTAAAACAATATTTTATGGTGCATAGAATTTGTCCTATCAAAATTTCTTATTTCTATGATTTAGTATGCAGACAATTTAAAAACAGACTGATGTGCTAGGAAAACCAGAGGGTAATGGAAAAACCAAGATTTTAATTACATAATTAAGTTAACATTGTAAAGTGCCTTTAAATAACAAAGTAAAAAGTACACATTTTACTATATGACCCTTAAATTTATTTAATTAAAAAAAAAAAAAAAAACCTTTCAGGATGAGAAGAAACTGCCTGGATGGCTCAGTTGGTTGAGTGTCCAGCTCTTGATTTCAGCTCAGGTCATGACCCTATGAGCTCCCTCTCTCTCTTTCTCTCTCTGTCCCCACCCCACCGTGCCCCCACCATGCTCCTCTCCCAAGCTCACGCTTGTGTGCTCTCTCTCTCTCAAAAAGAAAAAAAGAAAAGAAACTTCTCAAGATATGATTGTTACAAGAATGGTCATAAAGGGATTGAAATCATTTTTATAAATCCATGAGCCTTTCAGTTTTCTTCTAATTCCTGCTTACATTTTTCCCTTTATTTTTAAAATGAGTTTTAAGGTCATCTTTTGTTCAGTGTTTCTTTATGGAAACACCTGTGTTTGGTAAAGCATAGTTGTATAAGTTGTGCTGTATATTTCTTCTGTCCATGAGATCCTTGTTTCCCATTCCTTTTCTCTCCATTTCAGTTGGAAAACAAGCTGCTCCCTTTAAAACTTTAGTGAAGGCACAAAACACTTTTTGGGTTTTTTTTGAAAAGCACTTGTTAGCATTTAATGAACCTTCCTCCACATGGCTTCAAGCTACCAGGACGCAGGGTCCTCTTCCCAATCCCCGCGCCCGTCCCCCCCCCCGGGCCCCCCCCCGCCCCTCCGCCCCTCCACTGGCCTGGCCCTGAATCTTCTTCATAATGACAGGCTGTTCTGGGAACTTTCCCTTTCCCAAAACGTTGTAGTAGCCCAACCTCATCACATCAATGACAGGAACGGCTCTAGTCTTGTTTTTGGTGGCATTTACCAGTGTCCCCTCACTGATCAAGGTCCGAAGTTCATCAAGGTTGAAAGTTGGGCTGAGGCTCTGATTCCTCTTTAAGTGGTAATCCCTCATAGCAGCTTTTCCAAAGTCACTTGGGTGATATTTGTGGAAGTTGATCCTGTGGTGGTGCCACCGCATTATCCTGGCTTCCTGGGTGCTTTTGGTGCTTGCCCATGTGGCCCTGGCCGTGCCTGACGTGGTCCTGAAGTTTCTGGGTCGTCCTCAGTCAGGATGGCGTGTCAGCAGCCCAGACAAAAGAGGCACAAAGCACTGTTAAGTGACTGAGAGAGAGAAATCCATCCCAAATATTGCCAGCAAACTGTGTGGCTTCACTAAGCCTTATTTTCCTCTGGATCCTGGGGCACTTTGAGGAACAGGGACCTCTACCTGCTGTGTGAATTTTGAGGACCACCGAATCCATGAAGTTCCTGGACAAATGTCAAGATACTAATGTATATATTTGCTGCTGTAGTGATTCTTTTTCCATCAAGTGGATGCTCTTTATTGTCATTTGCTTGTCATCTCTCCCTTTTCATGTCCTCAGCCCAGCAAATGCCTCCATGTCCACAGATGCTCTCATTCCAGCTTTCTTCCCTCTCATGGTGACTTGCCTTTGTATCTGGGTCAGAGAGCGGGAGACTTCTTCCTGTTTGTGTAATCCATAATTGGCATAGTGCTGGCAGGTAGCAGGGGCTTATTCAAAGTCTTTAAATCTTTCACGTGTTCAATTTGGACATTAAATGTTGCACTTAATAACACCGAGCTCCCGTCAACTTTTCCCAAACTCATCTTTTTATAAGATAGAGAAAACAGTAATTACCTATACCCAAGAGTGGATGAGATGACTGGGGACACATTGAGGGAGCATCGAGCAGTCTCTTCTTGTTCCCCCAATTGCTCAGCCATCCACACCACCACCTTTGGAAAAACTATCTGTGAAGGTGTTAATGGGTCTGAAGGTCATTGTGGTACCTGGGAGCAGTGTTTGAATGTCTACGTGGAAGAACTGGGAAGCTGGAGGTTTACTGAGACTAGGGGCTGGAGCATCGGATCATGAAAGGTGCTCATGCTGGACCCACGGTGCAGAACATGCTACCATAACAAAGTAGAAACTCACTTACTGCAAGTAGAGCACACGAGGAAAGAAAAATACTTGCCAGGGTCACTCCAAGCTGAGATCCCCTACTACTGACTGCAGGCTCTTTAAATTCATCCACCCGGAGGCAGAGACGGTCACTCGGCGGGAGGTGGAGGCTTGGTGGAAGTTGTGGGAAGATGAATTCCAAACCTTCTATTTTCCCCTGTGGCTTTTCTCCTTCAAATCTTTCATCAAGGTGAACTATGGCCATGTCCTTGGCACCAGGCAAGATGCTAAAACTTACAGGCCTATCCTCTGTTTAATAAACAATTATTGAATACCCACCTCATTCCAGGCAATGTGCTAGGGATTAAAGGCTTTATTTTCAGGGTTCCCCTTCATTAGTTATGTTCATTGAAGGCAGCCTACTTGTCCCCTCCTTGGTAGTTAGCTGGGTTAGATGGGGCTAATGAGGAGAAGCCTTAGGTTAACCGTCTAGAAGTCAGTTAGATTTCTACTGTTTTGTTAACAAAGAATTGTGCTTCTAATCGCAGCCAGTCATCTCAAAAGTGTGCTATGAGTCAGATGGGCTTCCCCATGTGGAGAGTATGGATGAGTCACCCCTGCCGTCACCAACGTTAGAAAAACCGAAAATTTTACTCTGGCAGTGGGGGAGCAACGGCAGCATCTTTGCAAGTGAAGGGCAGGATGTCACATTGTACCAGACACTTGTAGTCTTCCTGGCGCAGTCTCTTACATATGTGTACATCTACATATATGTGTATACATATGTGTATGTATACATTTGTGAGCAGATAGGTACACACATATAGATGTGCACATCTACCCATGGATAAGTATGTGAAAAGATATTCAATTTGCCTTGAAGTCTTTCCATAATAGGATAGATAGGCCAGGATTATCGATAGACAGGCATCTTACTTTATAAGGTTTTTTTTCTGTAATGAAAACAGAGCAGAAGAGGCAAAGAGAAGCCCCCTGGTTATTCATTGCCCCTAAGTTTTCATGTGATAGCAGGTTGTAGTTCCAAAGAAGGCCACAAAAATATCTCTTAGACTAAATTCGCTCTGCAGTATGAGAGTACGTGTGCCATTATCATATCAAAAAGAGGTGTGTCTGCTTTGCATCTCCAAAAGTGGTATGTGAATTATGTGTGTGTGTGTATTTGTAGGGTACTTGGCCTATCTAACTAGCTTGTATGGTATGCTGATAGAGCGTTTACCTGTTTCATAAGTCATTTAATATATTATATATAATCACAATGAATATTATGAAAACATTAAATAATAATAGTAAATTATAGCAATAATATTCTTTTATACTTTTAAGAATGCTATGTTTTCCCCACAGTCTTATCAAGAATCCAAATTTGTGCACACATATAGTTTGATATAAACTAAGAGACGCCCAGTTTAAACCTTGAAGCTCTTATGTATGCTTTTTATGAATGCTTTCTTTTGAACTTTTATGACTTTTATATCTTTGCATAAGATGGCTTCTGCTTGGGGGCACCTAGGCGGCTCAGTTGGTTGAGCATCTGACTGTTGATTTTGGCTCAGGGCATGATCTCGAGGTTAGTGAGTTTGAGCCCCGCATCGGGCTCTGTGCTGACAGTGGGGAGCCTGCTTGGGATTCTCTTCCTCCCTCGTCTCTGCCCATCTCTTCTTTGTGCTTGCTCTCTCTCAAAATAAATAAACTTAAAAAAGAGAGAGAGATGGCTTCTAGCTGTGGCATATTTACCACTTATAGGTTCACATGTTAGCCAGCTACAAATTGTAGAACTAAGTGAGAACATAAGGCCTCTAATGAATTTATTATTTGAAATTATTTTATTTTATTAAACGTACTCAAAGTCCTCATTCAAGAGTTATCTTGTTCCTTAACGAGAACTCTACATTAGCAACTTTGAGTTATATTATTATTACTGTTCTAAATTCCCAGTGCAACATACTTACATCTAGTTTGTACAAGGACCTATGCTGGGGTGGTGGCAGGTCAGAGGGGCCTAGTTTCTACCCTTAGGAGCTTTTCACAGAAATGGAGAGACAAACATATACATAATGGGCTAGAGATCAGAGCAGATTGTGGAACTTCGTCTAAGAATTCTGAGCAAAGTGATAGGTGGATGCAGTGGAGACAATTATGTATTCTGGCTTTGGGCTTGGGTAAAACCTTCACAGGGAAGCTGGCAGCTTGGCGGATCCTTAAAGCACTGAGGTGGATGGACTGAGAAGGGGGAGAAAGGCACTGGGCCAAGTTGAGAAAACACACATTCTCTTGGACTGACATCATTCTGATGTGTCAGGGGGCAGGAGGTAAAACCATGTCGAGTGGACATTGCAGGTGCACTGTGGGGTCAGATGTGCACAGTCTGTGATGTCTGCAAGGTACTCGCTTGGAATGCCAGAAGAGGTTGGGGTAGTAAATCTGATTTCGCTTGAGCACATCTTGCAAGATAGCATAAATCTCAGCCAAATGTAATTATTCTCCCTGTCTTGATTGTTAATATTTTCCTTCCAAATTCCAAAACAGAAAGATCTAAAGGTGATTATAATGATAAAAACATTTATTAAAATGTTTTCAAGATTTGGAGGTTAATCCTTTTCTGCTTGATTAATCTCATTTTTTCTCAAAATAAAGTCACTTCTGTTACTGAACGCTACAGCAATGGGGACTTTGATGGTGACTTTGGTTCTGCCTTTTGAATCTTCTTTTCACTTTATCATAAAGCAAATTCTAAAATGTGCATTGACTTCATGCTCTCACATTCTGCAATCTTGTTATAAATGTTTCTCTCTGAATTAATTCTGATATAATTGTTCACTGCATAATGCTGAATTTTCATAATATATGAGCTGCAATATCAAAGCACAAAAATGATACTAGTTTAAAAAAGGAAACTAGTTTCAATTCTGAAAATTTTCTTGTGGCTTTGTGTATCACTTAAGCAGTGGTTCTCAGACTTTTGGGTCTCAAAAAACTGTTTATGCTCTTAAAAATTGTTGAAGAGTTCAAAGAATTATTTTATGAAGTTATATTTGTCAATATTTACTGATTTAGAAATTATGTTAGAAAAAGTTGTAACATATTTATTCGTTTTATTTTTTTTAATTTATTTTAAAGTTTATTTATTTAGGGGTGCCTGGGTGGCTCAGTGAGTTAGGCATCTGACTTCGGCTGGGATCATGAAGTCACTGTTCGTGAGTTTGAGCCCTTCATCAGTGTCTCTGCTGTCTGCACAGAGCCTGCTTTAGATCCTGTCTCCCTCTCTTTCTGCCCCTCCCCCCTTGCTGTCTCTCCCTCTCTCTCTCTCACACAAATAAATAAGCATTAAAAATTTTAAAAAGAATAACGTTTATTTATTTATTTTGAGAGAGAGAGAGTGAGAGAGAGAGTGTGTGCTTGCAGAAGCAGGGGAGGGGCAGAGAGAGGGAGAGAGAGGATCACAAGCAGGCCTCACACTGTCAGCATGGAGCCTGACTTGGGCCTCAAATTCACTAACTGTGATATCATGGCCTGAGCCCAAATCAAGAGTTGGTTGCTTAACCAGCTGAGTCACCCAGGCGTTCATTTACTCATTTTAAAACAACCACAATTAACCTATCACATGTTAACACAACTGTATATTTATTAAAAAAAAATTGCAACTTCGGGGGGCACCTGGGTGGCTCAGTCGGTTAAGCCTTCAACTTCAGCTCAGGATCTGATCTCACAGTTCATGGGTTTGAGCCCTGTGTTGGGTCTGTGCTGACAGCTCTGAGGTTGGAGACTGCTTCAGATTCTGTGTCTCTTTCTCTGCCCCACCCCTGCTTATGCTCTGCCTTTCTCGGTCTATCAAAAATGAATAAACGTTAATTTTTTTTAAATGATCACTTTCAAAACAAAAAGTATCAGTGAGAAAAGTGGCATTTAAAATTTTTTTTCATAATTTTTTAAAAGACTGGTCTAATAGTTGGATTTTCATGTATATCTTTAATCAATCTGTTGCAATGTACATGTCATGTAGCTTCTACAAAATATCTCTGAACACTCCTGGGAG